AGAAAAATCAAGTGCTCAGAAACCCACAAAAATTGCAGAGGGATACAGCCAAAAACTCAAAGAAACCAGGTCTAGGTGACTGGCTGCTGGAGAACCCCAGCTGATAGCTGAGTTGCACCTAGAATGTACACTTCATGCTCTAGGGATGTTTTCAAACAGTGCTCTTCTGGGCCATGAGTGTCCTAGAGGAGCCTCAGAGGCCACCATGGGGACAAAGGCCCCACTCGTATCTCTTTTACATTTTGCACGGGGCCTCTGTGTCAATTTTCATCTAAGAAAGGGAGTTCTGTTGCTAAAAAAAGATTTCAAATTTTTTTAAAACAATGATCTATGTGATCAAGTATCAACAAAGAGCTTTTAACAAGGAGGTACTAGTGTCTTTTTGTAAATAAAATTTTATTGGAACATGGCCATGCCCATTCATTTACACTGTCTATGGCTGCTTTTGTGCTGCAACAGCAGAGTTGAGTAATTGCAGCAAAGACCACGTACCCTGCAAAGCCTGAAATATCTACCATCTGTTCCCTCTATAGGAGAAGTTTGCTGATCCCTGGTCTGTATGGTCTGGTCTACACAATCCCTTGAACCTTTGAAATACACTGAATTACAAACACTAAGCCCTATACATTACCCCAAAAGGAGGAATCAAGACTGTAAGTACAGTAAAGGTGAAGGGGAGATCAGGAGCAGGTTCCTTGAGAGGATGGTTCTACCAACTCAGTCCATGGTCAGAAGCAGAACAAAGGTGTTACGGACCAAATGTTTGTGTCTCCAAAATTCATATGTTGAAGCCCTAAAGCCCCAGTGTGATAGTGTTAGGAGGTGGGGTCTTTGGGAGGTGATTAGGTCATGAGGGTAGAACCCTCATGAATGAGAGCAGAACCCTTATAAAACAGACCCCAGAGAGCTCTCCCGCCTTCCTTCCTCCATGTGAGGATACAATGAGAAAACAGCAGTCTGCAGCTGAGAAGAGGGCCCTCACCAGAGCCAACCTTGCTGGCCAGTACCCTGATCCTGAACTTCCCAGCTTCCAGAACTGTAAGAAATAAATTTCTGTGATTTATAAGCCACCCATTTCCATGGCATTCTGTTGTAGCAGCCCAAATGGACTAAGACAAAAGGCCTGACACAATGGGCCAGGGGTCACATTAAAGGGAAACAAAGCAGACTTACGCAATCACAAATTTTGTACTTACACAAAAATATCAGAACAGGGGGTTAGGTACTCTTAGGCCTCTGTACAACTCAAAGCAGAAGAGTCTTTGAAGTGGCCCTGCCTCAGGATTGAGTTTGAAAGAAACAATAGGCAATTTAAACCTAACTTGCACTGACACACAACCCCAGTGACACACAGCCTGCAGGAAATGGCAAGTCGTATAATTAAGTGGTCATTTTTAAAATAAAAATAGCTTCTCCCCAATCGCCAACACTTTCAACAACCACAGCTTTCTCTAGTGATAAACAATACTCTGAATGACCAGTTTTGGCCCTAATGAGATCTCTTTTCATCAGAGAAATATTCGATTGTCACCACACTCCGCTTCCTAAGGCAAGAGAGCAAACTGTTGTTTAAATTGGGCCATGTATAAAATGCTTAGTAAAGCTTAAAGCTCAGCTTACCTTGAGAAAACTTATTCGCCACAACTGAAGTCTTCTCGGTCTCACTATCTTGCTTCTGCTCTCGTGAGAAGAAGGACTTTTCAGATGTTTCATAATCAGACAATGCGTGAGTGGCTGAAGGCTCAGGAGATTCGGGTAGAATATGTTGGTAGGTTAAGTTGTCTTCCTCAATCCTTAACCATTGGGATCGAAAGATAAATCATTTCCCATGCTAAAATCCTAAGCCAGGACCATGACTTAAGAACACTTAAGATTACTTCACCTTTTGTAACTTCCCCATGCTTGCAACTTCAGTCAGCCCTTGTGTTTCTCTATAGCATTAAGCAATGACATTCTAAAAACAAAAAGGGCTCAGTGGGCTTGAGTCGGGAGCCAATGAAGGGGACTGGGGGGTTGTGCCTGTCCCACAGTCCGGCTTATAGGGGCGGGGCCCCGAGAGAAGGTCTGCTTCAATGGCAGCTGTTTACCAGGTGCCCACTCTGTACCGGGCATTTGAGATCGAACTCGGCCTCCCAGAACCCCATGAGGTCGGGATCACTATCCTCATTTAGAGCCGGAGAGACCGAAGCTCATCATAAACTTGTCCCTGTCTCACAGCTTGTAAGTGGCACGGTTCAGATTTGAACCAGGCCTATCTGTCTCCAAGGCCCCAGGAGAACACGGAACCCAGCCCAAAACCATGAGGTGGCCTTATGGACTTAAAAATCTTAAAACCCTCATCGTCCCCAAACAAGTCCCAATATCATTATTGCGGTAATCATCTGGTTATTAACCTGTATTTCCCAAGGAGCACCTAAACCCTGGAAAAAAATAAACTGAATGCTATGAAAACCCATGTGAATCTCCATTATAGATAAGCTCCTTAATTTAAGCTTTTTTCTGCCACTTTTTCCTATTACATCTTGTCAGTGGCCACAGTCTCATTATTCACATTATTCATGATCTCAGACAAGAGCAAAGGACTCCAAAGCTGCAATGCATTCATTAACAGGTAAACACCAGATGCAACTTCGCCCAGACAGCGTGATGGATGCACAGGCTCGCTGCTGGCTTGCAAAAGCGCGGAATGGGCCAAGGGCACCCATTTAATTAGCTTAGGAGTGACCCATGTGAGTGCTAAGCCTATAGCTGAAAAAGGCAGAACTGAAGGAAAGGAAACAAATCTGTCAGAAATGGAAAGGGTGACACATTGGTTGAGGAGAGCTAAAAGAGGTTTCCTGCCTCCCTCCAACCCATTCTCTAAGCAACCACAGAAGTCTTCCAAAATGGAAAATCTGATCATGTCTAGTCCTAGCTTACCTTCTTTCAAAGACTCCCCTCTTCCTGGACTTTTAACACAGCATCTGAGGACCAACCCAGTGGTGCCTGGCCTGCCTCTCCAGCCTTGACCCTCTATGCACCAGCCACGCTGCTCAAAGGGGCCATGTCTCTGTCTCAGGCAAGGACACTCTCCCAAGAACCCCTGGACCCTTCAACTCCCACCCTTTAAATCTCAGCTAAGAATGTCCCCACTCTGGGAAGCCTTCCTTGACCTCTCCATAGCCAGCCAGGGGGATGTGATCTGTTATTATAAGGGTGGAAATGGATAGTTGAATTGGGGGGGATCTTTGACAGTATTGCAATGAGAGAGGAATTTAAGTTTCTTTTACATTTATAGAAGCCCTGATTAAAATGTCCTCCAGTGAGCTGTGATACCCCTGCCTGCCCACTCTAATGATGCTGATGGCGTTTGCAATGCCAATAAAATCTCAAATTCTGCACCCCAGACTGGTCTCTGTTTCTTTATTTTATCCCCAGAAGCCCAAAGGGCCACATCTCCAAAGAGGAGGAAAGTACCGAGCAGCATTAAAAGCATTCAGAACCTATAACCAGTAAACAGAGGAGGACAAGACCCTGGCATCTTCAGTTGGCCATAAAGGCAACCTAAGAACCTAAGAATGTTCATTCCGTGAACATTTTCTGAGCTCCAACTAAATTCCTGATACTTGGAGCTGGAATGGATAGAGAGATATTCGAGACGTAGTCTTTGACCCTCAAAACAAATGGGATAACAATAAGAGCACGTGCATTAGAGTATAACAGATTCAAGTTCAAATCCCAGCTCTGCCTCTAATGGCAAGTATGCAATTGTGACCCACAGTCTCCTCATCCTAAAATAGTTACTTATAACCCTGTAGGGTGAGAAGTAATAAATGTGAAATGCCTAGGGCAGCTGCTGGCACACACCAATACCCAGCTAATGCTAGCTAGCTCCTTTCCTCTTTTGAGGAATAGTAGGAATACAAAGATAAATGTAGAGAGCATTACAACACCACGTGATATTA